TAACTTTGATGCCCAGTTGGAAGAGGTATGGACCTAATTCAGGCTATATGAAAATAATGCAAAAATGTACGGACAACTGCAAAAGCTCAACAATTCCATGTTAGAATTACAACAACAACAACAATAACAACAAATCCCACAAAAATCAAGTGGGAAAAATCCAATGCTGAAAAACTTGTCGGAAGTGGATAAGGAAATTTTTATAAAAGAACACATGTAGCTATTTCCTCTGAATTGAAACATTCCCTGCTGGAAGGAGGAGGGAAGTTCCTAAGACTCTCCAAGTAATTCAAATCTATCAGGATGCCGAGGAAACTTGAAGGCACAGGAAGCTCTAGAAACTTACAAGATTCACAGAGCTTCTTTATGAGGCTATAGGGGCATTTGCAATTGGAGGAGCATCTTGCAGATTGTTCCAGAGAGGCACCTTTTATGAGCTGTCAGCCATGCTGGGGCGGGCTTTTTGGTGATGCAACTTCTTTTGGAGTCATCCATGGTCCTAAAAGCAATCCCTCACCTATATTCCTCACTGGTTTACTAAGCCAGACATGTAAGAAACTGCTTTTTTTTTTTTTTTTTTTTTTTTGGTCTGCTGGAACTGCTGATGCCCTTGAGGCAAATAGATGTTTGCCTCCCTAGGAAATGTCACACAACAAATGTATTGAGAAAACATACCCTCTGCCATGTAGTTTGGAGTGAAGAAAAGAAGAAAAATGAATAAAAAGAGTGGAGTTAATTTTTTTTTAAACCTCTGACAGAAAAGGGAGGTGTCAATGTGAAAATGGGAACTATATTTTCCACAGAAATTTAAAGCCCTGAAAATTACATGGATATTCTGATAAATGTGCATTTAAAAAGTTAGCGGCTAAGTTAAGAGATGACCCAATCGCTTTGATGATGCCACCAGAATTTAAATATGCCACCCCATACCTCCAAAAAGACAGTAAAAGATCTTTCTAAGAAATCAGAGTGCTTCTAGCAATCATCCAGAGAGATTAAGACACATAAATGGTCATCTGAGCTCATGGCAACTATGGATAGCTTTGCAGAGACCATGCAAAACTTGTGGAGTTGCAGACAGTCAGATTTAGAGTTAACATCTTGGACAGAGCCAGCCCTCTGGTTCCCATCTGTTGGAAATCTATATAAGAGTTTGAGACCCAACAGAACTTATCTTAAAAAAAAAAAAAAAACAAAAAACCCGGAGGCACTAATTTCAAATCTACCTCATTTGGTAGGTATCCTGGAAGTCTCCGAGGATTTATTATTTCCCTTTGGGTTCCAACACTTGGATACCAGCATTGTTTCATTACTGAACTGTTCAGTTAACTGATGCAGGTTAAGGTCACAATGGTGTATGTTAATGATGGAAGACAACAGAACTTCTATAATTTATTGAAAAGGTCATGGGGGTCTATTTTCCATGACTTTTGATTCAATAAATGTATTCAAAATGGTCTTCCTGTTGTCAAATAAGAATATTGTCATTTATAAATGCAAATTTTTTTATCACAGAGCTTTCATTAGCCCTAATGATAAAAAGTGTCACTTCATATATGAAAAAGCTTTGCATGGCAAAACCTCAGTGTACTGAATTGATCAGCCAGTGACATGTGTCAGACTTATTGTAACTCATATATATGTATATATATATATACATATATATATATATATATATATATATATATATATATGTATGTATAATCTCCCATATCCATTTGTATATTTGAACTCTGGGTGTTTCTTATATGTGGTTTCCATGAAGAGTTTTCTATATGATCTCAGTAGTGTGCTTAGAGTGTCTCTACCATGGAGAGCATAAACAATTGTGTTCAAACACCTTTCAAATTTCTAGAGTTACAGTGCTTTGTGGCTGTTTGCTATAATGTTGAAACTATTAGTTATAAGTAGACCTTGTAGAAGAAATCTTGGCAGAAAACAAAGAAAATAAAAACCCAACCTTTAGCAAGATGGTGCCGACTCTCTTTCCACTGAGAGAAATCGTCCTCCATTTGATTGTATTCCCATGGTAACATGTTTTAATTTTAACAAAGCCCAAGGACATCATCAAGGAGGGCTCTGCACATCTAGTTCCTGTCCCTAGCATTTTTGTGGGAATATCTTTGAATAAAATCTCTGATGTCCAGGCTGAAAACGCACGCTAAAAATACTCCTAAGGCAGACAAAACAATCTGGAAAATGTATGTCAGAATTCTAAGAAATCACATAGAAACTGGAAGAAGTGTAGGTATTATTACGAAGTAGTGAGAGTCAAATTTTAAAAAAGCCAATGAACAAAAATATCTGCAAGCTTACTAAAATAACCTTGTTTCTGTAAACAGAAAAACAAGTAATTGGACATGGGGCTTGGCCTCTTGAGGTCTGAAGTAGGTAAACAGAATGAGTGGCTAACACACATTCCTCTCCAAGCTGGTACCTTCCTCCTACTTATGAAGGCTGAGTCTTCCTTGGTAGAAGTGCACAGACAGGGAGATGGATTTTGAGTTCTTCAAGAGTTCCTGTAGTCAGCCGGCTGGATACAAGAGTTTTTCTTCTAACAGTGTCTCCTAGGTATTTCCTAACAGTATCTGTTGAAGGAGCTGAAGACCAACTCCTCTGTCCTAGTCTATAGAGCAAGGGAAGCAAGACTGGGTCAGAACACCACAGCCTCACCACGTCTGCTCCAACCCCACATCCAGCCAGACAATGAAGTGTTGCAAGCATTTTCTGAGCATCACTCCCGGGAATTCAGGAGCGCTCTAGTCAGTGTGGGCAGGAAGCAGAAAGAGAAATGTTTACCTTGCCAGCGAACCCTCTGATAGGCCCTGCCATGAGGGCAGAAGCACCCAGCCGTTGCTATATTCTTGCTTCCTTCTCCATCAAGCAAACCTGCCTGTGCCCATCTCAGGACATCAGGTAGATCTTCAGCTTTCCAGACTCCCCATCCTTCTTTGCCAACAACATCCTCATTTAGATGAGGGCTGTGTGCACATCCTAATTTGGAACTTAACGCCACACAAACATTTAATTCACTTTAATTTCATTATGCATTTAAGGAGGGCAATTTGTAGAAGGGGTGGGGAATGATAGTCTCCTTGCCAGCAATTAGATGAACATAACAGTCTGCCATGGAATCCACTCACGGGCTCTGCACTTTCTGTGCACGTCTGTGAACTAAACCAGACTAGCAAGTTCCTGGATTGTCAAAGGGCTAAGCTGCTCCTCCCCAAGGCTCTCCCATTCAACACAGCAGGAACTCATGAAATGGATACAGTATCCCCCATGGTTCTCAGGGAACTGATTTCTATTGTGACCCTTCTAGGAAAAGATACTTTCATTTGATATCAACAGTATCATTAGATATATTTTTTTCAGAAGACCTTCCTGAAGATATGAGGAGACAGGCATATAGATTAAGCTGCCTATCCTCACTCCCACTTTATATGCAAACTGTCATTTGAGAAGTCGGGGGTTGGGGGTTGGGGAGCAACTTGCACTGTATTTCCTTAGCTTTGCCCAGAGAGTTTACACGCTGATTTATTTATTTATTTATTTATTTATTTATTTATTTATTTATTTTTATCCCCAGTCTTCTTATAATGGACACAAGATGACCTGTTCCTCAGAAGGATTGCATTTGGTGTCTTGTGTTAGAGAGGGCTAACTTTATTTGGCAATTTTCTTTGAGCATATCAATTGTTGAATAACCTGGAGAGCTGCTTCCCTCATTAAGCACAGGGCTGAGAGTTAATCACATCAGAATTCTAATCTTGGCTCTGACCCTCATTAGCAGCAGCATTTTGTGCAAGTCCCTTAGCCCCTCTTGGTGTCTGTTTTATATCAGTAAAATGAGAAATATGAATGCAATTGGCCTCTCCGTGCTCTGAGATTCTTTGACTTCAGAGACACCAGAAACAATGAATGGGAAGTGGATTTTATACATTGTCCCCAAAGTGCTACGTAGTTTTGCCAAAAAACAACCTAGGCAATGTAGACAGGCCATGAAGTCTGGTGTTAAGCACCCATTTCATGTATTTATGCCATTAAATGATACTGAAGTCCCCTGACGCCAGAGTCATCTTCTCTAGCCCCAGTTCTGGGAGTCTGGAGAAGATTTAGATCATCCCATTAGAGGCAAGGCCAGGTTAGACATCAGAGAGCCCTACAAAGGATGCAGAACATCTACCTTAGACGAGGCCGGTGTGATTTATTTGCATAAGTATAACCCTCAGGCTTCATACTTTTTTTTTTTTTGTACTGATGGTTCCTTTTGAAGTGATTGAAGGAGGAAGCTCCAACTGATCTTTTAGAGAGGGACCTTGTCACTCTGACTCATCTCCTATGATATATGGTGATGCAATCAACACACACACTGACCACAGCACTAGCTCAACATGTACTTAGAGAAGTGCACATGCCACAGTAGATAAAGAGACAGACTAAACTTGGCTAGAGCCCACCACAAATGAGGGATGATTTTTTTGTTGTTGTTGTTATGATTCTATTTCCTTTTGCTTTCTCTCCTTTCATTGGGAGGCATGAAGAATACAGGCAACGACCCTACTCCCTCTCACAAACCAATGCTATTTCTCTTTTCCCTAACCTATCATTTTTTGACACTGCCAGTGTGTGAATGGCCTGAATGTCAGGTCCCCAGTAGATCAGTAGTACATGAAAAATTTCAGCAAGCTAGCTCTTCTTGGGAAATAATTACAGTCACACCAGTGACTCAGATCACAATTGGGCTGTATGAATAGAACCATGTGGGAGATATTGAAAGCACAAGCAGTGTCCAACTTCAAGTCCAAGGTCTTCCTAGACTACCTAGAAACATCCGTGTGTGCATTCCACAGGTGTTATCAGATTTCTACATAGCTGCTTATGACTGGAGAAAGGTTAAAAAACCCACGGACATAGCACCCACTTCCTAGTACCTGTCCTCTGAATCCAGTATACTGCTTCTGACTTGCCTATGCTTCTTATTCTTTTGCTCTCCCTAGAAAAAGCAAGTGAGTCAGACCAAGATCCGGGTCATCTCAACTATTCTCTTCATCTTGGCTGGCTGCATCGTGTTTGTGACAATCCCTGCTGTCATCTTTAAATATATCGAGGGGTGGACCGCCCTGGAGTCCATCTACTTTGTGGTAGTCACTCTGACCACAGTGGGCTTTGGTGATTTTGTCGCAGGTAAGCAACCTGGACACAGCCAGTCACTTGCACCTTCCTGGGGGAAAACAATCTGTTGGATGTCATTTTCAAAATGATGATGCCTGGGATTGGGGATTTAGCTCAGTTCTAATGTGCCTGGCCAGCAATCCCAAAGCTCTGGAGCCATAGCAAAAGAATCAAAAGTATGGTAACAAGTATTTGCAGAGGAAGTATACAAAATGACTCAATGTCAACTCAGTGTGATATAAGCAGCATCAAGTTCTATCTATCTATCTATCTATCTATCTATCTATCTATCTATCTATCTATCTATCGTTTTCCTTCCTGAAAAGCCAGCCCCAGGATGCTGACCTAGTGTTAGCATGACTGAATGCATTATGTAAGGGTGAAGTTTTCATTGAACCTGAACTTCTCAACTGTATTGAGGCTCCTTAAGTCAATCGATAAAGACCACAATTAGCCAAAGGCAAATATCAAACGCAGGAACAGTTAGCATAGCTAACTGGTCTGCAGTGATAAGCAGACAAGGCTCCTAATGCTCACGTAAGAGTCTCTGCTCCCCAGATGTAAGACACTCCCGCACTCCCAGGCTTTCCTTTGCGCAGTCCTCAACCACTATGGTCTGGATGGAATCCTAGAGCTTGGGAGAGAAATTGAGGCAGGAGGAGCAACATTCAGCCTGTCCAGTCTGTAAGCCTATTTAGGTCATCCCTTAGCAGTCACCCAGAGACGATAGTCCCTAGGGAAAGACAGTTGAGGTTTTGATCTAAAATAAATACCTGTGAGAGCAGAGGAGCAAAGAGCTGCTTCCCACCACCTTTAGACGCTTCACAGGACAACTTAAAGGGGGGGGGATGCTGATGGCGGTGGTTCTAGCATCAGTGACCCGAGGACTACGGATAGTCTGAGCACTTGGGATGGACTCTGCCCTCTAAGTGATTGCTCTGCCCCATCTGTTGATCAGGACCAAGCACAGAGCTCTGGTGTGAGAACTGAAAGAGAAAGCATTTTTTTCCTGAACATATGCACATCACATGTGCACCTGATGCCCTTGGAAGACGTCCAGTCCCCGGCAATGTCACCATGTAGGTCCTCTTATCCCTAAGTCGCATCTCCAGCCCCGTTCCTACTGCAGTAGGATTCATGGTTGTATTGCAGATTAGTTCTGATTTTATTTAGAGCCATGGGTCCCAGTGGGCTCTATCAAGCTTTCCACACTACTGTCACCATAGAGCTTCAATGATGGCAGACACAGCAACAACCACAACCCAGTGTGCAAGGCTAGGAATATTTTGCTTCCCAGTGTCCTGATTGTTAGTACAGCACCCATGAGTTGTCTTAGAGGCACCCTTCCTGCTCTCTGGGTGAGTGAAGGGTGCTATCAGTAGTGCTAACAATGAGGCTGAAATAAGTGGGAGGATTATTTGGAATAAACGACCATTTCTATTAATGGAACAGCTAGCCAATACCATTAGGCAACTGGCCAATTTGGTTTTGATGTTTTTTTTTTACTGTAATCTTTATTTATACAATGATGGGATTGAACTAGATGTCCTCACAGGTATGGTTTAGCTCTAGGCTATGGTAATTCTAATTGCCTGGCCTAACTGACCCCCTGGATGAGCAGCATGTAAACACCATCCCTCACTTAGCGTCAAATCACTATTTCATGAACCAAAGTCTCAATAATGCTGTTATACTTAATTTTACTTCTGCGCATGCACTCATCTCTAATGCGTGTGAACTTTAGAAGGAAATAACTTCAAGTATTTCAAATCATTTGGCATAGTGTTTGTGTGTGTGTGTGTGTGTGAACCTCCTCCTGGTTTCTTCCTCTTGTTCTCTCCCCTTCTTCCCCCTCCTACTCCTTTCTACCCTGTCTGTCTGTCTCTGTCTGTCTGTCTGTCTTCATCATCGTCATCATCATCATGCCATTGTAATCTTCTCCTCCCCTCCCCCAACCCGGACTCATCTTCCTCCTTTTCAGAGTCAAATTTTCACCATGTAGCTCTGGCTCACCCTGAACTCACTGTGTAGTCAGGCTGGCCTTGAACTTACAACGGGTCCTCCAGCCTTTGCTCCTTGAGTGATGAGATTATTAGCATGTGCGAGCCTTCATAGTATTCTGTGTTAATGAGGGGAATTCAGAGAAATTTGAGAAAAAATGATAGGTGGTGGGCCAGCATTTGAAGGTACTTTTCCTGTGAAGTTAATTTTCTGTTAGTGGGAGTAGCTGACTCAAGGTGGCCACCGGCATTTTTCTGTTCTAGAACGAAGGGTTATTTTTAGTTGTTAAGAGTCAAAGAAATTAAGCTACCAGCCAGACTCCAGTTTCTGTTGGCTCTTGTTTCCTGCAAGCCTAATGGCCTAGAACTAGACATCGAAATGACATTTCCCTCCTTGGATTGGAGTTTACTCTGCGAAGACCAACTGTTGACCATGCTAAAGTACCGTTTGGTTATTTTCAGGGGGAAATGCTGGCATCAATTACCGTGAGTGGTATAAGCCGCTGGTGTGGTTTTGGATCCTCGTTGGCCTTGCCTACTTTGCAGCTGTCCTCAGCATGATTGGAGACTGGCTGAGGGTTTTATCTAAAAAGACGAAAGAAGAGGTAGGACCCCTTCCAAGCCCCATGAGTGTCCTTGACACCCCTCATTGAGAAATGTCTGTTTCTGACTCCACGAAACCAGCGCATAGCTTCCCTTTCCTTTATTTAGAAGTTTAAGTTGAGTCCATAGGAGTTATTTCTAGACCTTTTAGTAAATAACTGCTTTAAACATATAAAAAAGAAAAAAAGATAGGAATGACGAGCAAGGGTGGATGGTGGCTTCAGAAAGAATGCAGTTGCCTTTGTCAAGCAACTACTTGGAAGGCTTCAGGGACTCGTGGGAAGCCTGGGGAAGCTGGCCGGCACTCCAGGTCTCAGGGTCAGCTTGGGGATGGCCTCTTGGACACCACTAGATGAAAGTCATCTAACAGTGCCCAGCCGTGGGGAAATAGGCTCAAGGGGTCCTTTCTGCATATATCCTCATGTCCCTGTATATATCTCTCCCATATTCCCCCATTGCCAGATACCTGCAGTCTTTACTCCTAGAAATGTATTTGAAACTCAAAGGCAAGAGAAGGAAGATAGAAAGACACATAGGTCATTCAAAATGTCATTCTTCTGCAAAGAGAGGAAGATAAGTAGGAGGAGAAAGAGTAAAGAGACAGAGCGATAACTTGACTAGAGAGGGACACGCAGTCCATTTAAGGGCAGCTGTGCAGATCATTTGGTAAAAAGCGACAAGGAGACAGTTGTTGGGTGAGCCCCAGCCCATTTCTCCAATTCCTTGGCTTACAAATTAATGTTCCTGGCTTGTGTAAACATTCCCAATGCCACTTCCAGGCTGATTCCCCACAGACTGACCTGCTGAATGTTGGCTTTAACAAAAGAGGAAGGGACCACAGAAACCAGACTTTCCTAAATGCTAAACTTTTGAGTCATTTGCCTCTATAGGGAAGCAGAACGGCACAGAAACAACCAAAAAAAAACTGGTGATGAATCTCCAGCAAAACTTCACTTCCTAAGAAAGTATTTCAGGTGGACTTTGGTGGGAAATGCCCTTTTCCTGCACCTTAACCAGGGATATATGGTTATCAGGTACCTTGGGCCTTCCTCAGCACACGGTTGCAGAATGGCTTCCAGACAGGGTGACTAACTATCTCAGTTTTCCCAGAACTTAGGGGATTTCCTTGGGCACGGGCCTTTTTTTTTTCCTCAGTATCACAGAGATTGAACCCTGGGGCCTTGTGCATGCGAGGCAGGTGCTCTGCCATTGAGTTCTATCCTTAATGCTTAGACAGGAGTATTGGAAAGACAGGAAAGGACGAAGGTTTGCTAAGCATTGCCTTTCATGGCCACAACTGAGCTAGGTGTGGTCTTTAATGTTATGCAATTATAGAAGCTGCATGAGACTTCATGTGAGAAAAATGGGGCCATACAGTGACGCGCGCGCACACACACACACACGAGAGAGAGAGAGAGAGAGAGAGAGAGAGAGAGAGAGAGAGAGAGAGAACCAGAATCCAGATCTCCCCTCCAAATGCTAACATCTGCCTCTACTCAGCTCTAATTTCTCAATTTCAGATGCTTCCAAGCTCTCCCTACTCCATCAGTCAGTCACTAGCCAGCCTGACATGGGTGTCTAATTGGGTTGTAGAGAACACCAGAGGAGATGTAGTGCTTTGTCTCTTTCCCTGGGAGATGATCTCCCCCTAGTCTCCCCCCAGAGACAGCCTCCCTCAATGGATCACCTGAGGGCTGTAGGTTCTGAGAAGTCTAAGAGGAGAGGAATTTCTTAGTTTGTTTTGCTCTTCTGTCTTGTCTAGGTGGGTGAGATCAAAGCCCATGCAGCTGAGTGGAAGGCTAATGTCACTGCTGAGTTCCGGGAGACCAGAAGGCGGCTCAGCGTTGAGATCCATGACAAGCTACAACGGGCAGCCACCATCCGAAGTATGGAGCGCCGGAGGCTGGGCTTGGACCAGAGGGCCCACTCACTGGACATGCTATCCCCTGAGAAGCGCTCTGTCTTTGCAGCCCTGGACACAGGCCGTTTCAAGGCCTCATCCCAGGAGAGTATCAACAACAGACCAAACAACCTACGTCTTAAGGGGCCAGAACAGCTCAACAAACATGGGCAGGGCGCTTCTGAGGACAACATCATCAACAAGTTTGGGTCCACCTCCAAACTCACAAAGAGGAAAAACAAAGATCTCAAAAAGACCTTACCCGAGGATGTTCAGAAAATCTATAAAACCTTCCGGAATTACTCTCTGGATGAAGAGAAGAAAGAGGACGAGACAGAAAAGATGTGTAACTCAGACAACTCCAGCACAGCCATGCTGACAGAGTGTATACAGCAGCAAGCTGAGATGGAGAATGGAATGGTACCCATGGACACCAAAGACCAGGGGCTGGAGAACAATTCTTTACTTGAAGACAGAAACTAATGTTAAAGACACTGGAATTGGACTACATGTTGTCTTTTTCTGTTGTTTTGTTTTCTTTTTGTCTTGTTTTTGTTTTAATATTCACACTGAGACACGTGCCTTAAATAGACTTCTTGTTAGTCCAAAATTACATAGCATTGAAGAATATATTTCACTGTGCCATACACAACTGAAAGCTTGCTCTGCCAAAATGAATCAAACAGGAGCTTTGTTTCAGATAGTGGCAGCGAGACCCAGGTCAGCTGTCCCTGTGAGGGGAGTTCCAGTGGCTATGCTACACTCTTCACCTAGTGCCGCATGGTACACAGGCAAGGGCAGCTTTCCCTTAGACCAGCCTCCGAGAGGACAGGTTTGTCTTTTGAATTGAGTCTCCTTTTCCCCAACCGACCCTTAGTGATACATTGTGCACAGAAGAGGCGGCTGTTTGGGAGGGACCTGGTGACTCTAGCAAGAGTTTGAGTGGACATTTTGGTAGGCCACAGTGCAGAACACCTACTCCAAAATGAATGTCCTTGGGGCCCAAGAGTACCTGGAATTTGTTTGAAACTGATCAGAGCACACACGTTTTATAAGGTGCAATTGCTTTTCTCATTAAAAAAAATCACAGACACATCCCACTGTGGATATCTCCTTAACCAATGACAGACGTCCACTGAGCTTTATCCTTTTCACAGGATAGATAGTGTAGGCGGACTTGCAAGCATTGGTGAATACACCGCCTCAGCCGCTGCCTCGTCAGAAGGCAGATCATGCAATTTTCTTCAGTGGGTGTGAAGGTAAAAAAATAAATAAACTGATTTTGGAACATTCATACTCACTTTTCTATGGGGACTTTAATTACAACTTGTTTTGATAGGAGGGAGGAAATACCAAAATGGTTGCCTTTGCATGATGCCGGTGGCTTGCTGTTCTGTCTAGCTGATCCTAATTTTTTTTTTTTTAAATAAAGACAAAAATAGACATCTTGCATTTGTGAGACACACCGAGGAGGACCATGGCATCTTTCCATCTCAGGGCTTCCTGTCCTTTTGGGTGTCTTAGAGTAGATTTAACTGTAAGACTCAATCTTGCTATTTCAACACAAAAGGAAAAGGAATCTCACACCAAACCCTTGTAAGATTGAAATGGTTTTAAGTTTGCAGTTTAAGTGCCGTTAATGCATTTAAAACAAGAATACTGAAAGGGAGTGTTTAAAGGATTTCATTTTGTTCTTGTGTTTCCTGATGCCTTTACCAAGTTCAGTGTGTGACTGTTTCGTTATGCCTTTCTATGAGAACATACCCTTCCTTACCTATTTGCCCCACACCTGTTATTCACCAAAATGTTAACTCCCTTGTCATTGTTTCTAGGAAAGCAATGATCAACATGTGATTGCTATGTTTAACCAGTTTGCAATGTTCAGTGAAGGACCGTTGTAGGACAGCGTGAGTTGTAGGGTTTGAGAGGCTGATTTAATGGATTTTTTTTTATCAGAAAGGAGAAATTCATAGTAGGCCTTATCTCACCTATGTATGTGTCAGCTTTAGTAGGATTTGGCTGCATGTTGGTTCAGCTAGGGCCCCCTGCACTTAAACATTTGAATCCTGTAACAGGAGGAAACTGTTGGTTATGGATCTTCTAAACTCAGTTCCACCTTTTGGGGATTATCATGGAATTTTCCTCTAACTAGTTAACAAAGCATATTTAACAAAAGGTCACAGCACAAGTGGAGACCTCCAGAAACCATCTACCATTTTCTAACTGAGGGGAAAATTATGTCCACTGCCTCTTTGACCGCTGGTACCATGGAAGACTCATCTCCCTGAAATGTACTGTTTCCAGCTGTCCCCTTCTTGGAGCACAGAAGCCTGTTTCCCAGCTCTCAGGGAAACCTTCAGGATCTTGTTAAATATTTGAGGAGTCAAATAGGAATCACTACGGTGAGGTCTTTGCTGTCAAGGGTTTGTCTGGGGTCACTATTTCGTTGGAGCAGAACATTGGCTCATTGGTGTCCCATATAGTGCTGTAGGCTTGGAGAACATGATGCGTATGTAGGCATGGATGCTGGGTTTTTATTATGGGAAGGGTCCAGCCTGGCTCATTGTGTTTTAAGGAACAGGTAGATAAGTGGGACTTCTCTATTCTGATGAGTTTCCTGATGAAACTGCACATGGATCTCACCCATTTTCCGTTGGCACATTTTCATGATTGTGTTAAAACTGCAGGCACTAGATCTGTATCTGGTAAAGAAGTATCCCTGCCATTTGTTCTATGCCTTTTATGGACTTGGCATTTTACTGGATTGGGCATTTTGCAGCATTCATTGAAACCTCAGTGGGGAGTATTTACAAATTCTTTGTATAGACAAGGGCACAGAGACTCAGGTACAGAGACTACTTACCAGTAGTGCACAGCAAGAAGGTGGTAAGAACCTGCTTTCAGTTTTGCTACGATGTTCACGACATGTACCTTTGTGACCGAGAGTGCTTGTGTATTTGTGTGTGATTGTATGTGTGCACACATCTTACAAGCCTCATGAGCACAGTTGACAGAGATGAGGGGAAGATAGATTTTTTTTTTGTATCCCTAAGAGGGAATAAAGTTTTGGGGGTAAATCTGGCCTAAAAGGTTATACCCCTGAAGTTATCTATCTACTGCATGCTTTTGGCTTGGGGGATGCTGTAGACAGCACCTCTTCTGGATGCTGGAAAAGCCCTTCCCAAGCACTCCTTTGCACTTTACTCCATTTTCTTGCAGGAACTCTTCTCACAGCAGGACCTAGACATTTCAGAAGTCTTAGATGCAGAGCCAACCAAAAGGAGCAGGTACACGAGTCAGTGTGTGCATAGTTGTGTTCGTGAGACTCAAACCTCAGTAGTACCGAGACTCAAGCATAACCTTGGATTGAGAGTGTGTAACCCATTCCCTGAGTGTTGGATAAAGGTTCTGAATGACGTCAAAGAAGACCCTCAATGAAGATTGTGTCTGTGGAAAAAGCATTCCAAAAACTATGAAGTACTCTCCAAAGGAGAAGCCAATGGGAACATGAGAGGTTTCATCTCATCTGCACATGCTAACTAAACCTGAAGGTGTTGGTTGTTCGGAAGTTACTCAAATGTTATCCCTGTAAGCAGGGGAGCAAACAGTATGCAGAACATACGTGATAAGACAGCTGCTCTATGTTACATACAAACATCTGCCTAGCTTACCCTTTCTCCTCAGTAACCCTTGCCCCTCTTAAGCCCAGAATAAATGGGTTTTAGACATAGAAAGAGCACTTTTGGTATCTTAGATGGGCAGTTTTGTGCTTCGTTTGACAGCTGAGTAGAGAATTGTTCTCTCATCTGGAGGTTTACTAGTGAGATCCAAGCAATAGTTTGGAGAGGCTATTATATATAGTATATATAATTATGTTATATATTATAATAATGTAATTGTTATAGCTGTTATTATAATATATTACATATACATTATATATATAATATTCCCAGACCTAACTCAGTAGTGATTCTCTCTGTTTCAGCTTGGCTATAGGGCAGTGCAGTGTGTGTGTGTGTGTGTGTGTGTGGCGTGTGTGATGTGAAAGGGGTCCCTGGCTTATAATTCAGGTATCTGGGACCACTACTGCTTGTGCTCTTCCATCCCGCAGCCTGTGCTCACAGGCACACCGTTTTCCCTGTACCTCATCTGCACACCAAGGGAATGGAGCACAGGTTATTACCAAAAGCCTTTTCCAATTGTACAGTTCTCTGAGGAGACATTCCCCAGTCCATGAGTTAATCGGAAGATTATTAAGTTGGATTTCTGCATATTGATTAATGGTCCCATTCCCACCCTCGGCATTTGTTTTCTGCACGGTTGATGGAGACCAGATGTATTTGAGAGACTGGAACACACCCTATATAGGCTCTATCCACCCCATCCTAGCTCTTAGCACACCGTTGCTCTGCACAGCACACAATGCAGGGGGCTTTTTTTTTTTTTGGGTGGTGGGGGTGGGGTCATCAGGGCAATGGTGTTAAGGCTAGTCAAAGAATTGTAAGCCATTGCTATCAGCACTCAGTTGTACTAAGTGTTCCTTTGACTGCATTGTGAATTCATGTCCCCCACCTCCTCCTGGTACTCAAAGTCACATGTGTGTAGGAAATGACTTCTCAGGTTTCATGGGAAGTTCTAGCTGTGCTAAACATTGACAAAGCACCCCTCCCCACCCCCCACAAATGGTTCTGAGGCTTCATTTCCTGGGGAATCAAAGCTGCTGCTGCATACCTATTTACTTGGTCTGGGGTCAGGGTTCTGGTTGAAGCACTTGTGGCTCACTGGACTGGACTGGGGAATGATGCCAACCATCCAGTGTGCAGAGTGGTTTCAACATCAAAGACACTGAAAGGAAAAAGAAGCAAACCAAGCTCACAGAGCCTCTCTAGAGCCCCACCAGCTTCTGTATTTTGCCAATGCTTCAGGTCTGGGGGTCTTTCTTACCGTTAGTATATAAACTGTATGCAAAGAAAGAGGCTGAGGGTAGCCACGGGAAGCCTCTGCTGATACAGCATAAGAACTGGCTTATTAATAGTGGCCTCAAAAGGACACACAACCAAGCTCTAAAACAAAGGCCACTTTCATTTGGCACTTCGAGTGCTGTTGAGTCTGCACACAGTATGGCAGCTACAGGGCTCTGATAAAGCCCTGCACCCTGCCCTAGTGTGGTAGCCATGTTACATCACATGACACCAGCTTAGTGGTATAGAGAAGTGAGGTGTCTCTGACTTGCTGGGTGTGGTTATCATTTTGATAGGTGCCGGAGATTGGGGACCCCCTTATGTTCTTTGTCCTTAAGTTCTTTGCTCTGTCCTGTGCACTACAAAAGAAACTCCTTTGAGAAACTTCCAGACCATCAGCTCAGTAGACTTGCGCCATAGATGCTGCTTCATGGTATGTCCCATGTGTGGGGCTCTAGCTGGAAGGAAGAGAGCTAGATGGGATATCCAAACTACCCCGAAGGCTAACCTCTTTTCCTTTCTGTCTCAGAGCTGCAAGCAAGGGACTCAGTGATGATCAACCATAAACCCATGTGTGGAGATGTTTTACCTATTTTTTTTTTTATAGGATTTCATGGTGCTTTTTTTTTTTAAGGCATTTTACAGTTGATGTGTCGGGAGGGGGGGCATTTTCTATTGCTCTTAGAAGGAGACGTGGGAATTTGCTTGTAACATTTCAATAAGCTGTGCTGCTATTGTCCCTTATTTGAAGATGTAATTTTTTTTTTCAATGATGGAGAACATTGCAACAAAGACCTTCTGGAAGATCCAATCTAATGCCTGTCCTGTTTTCCTTATGGGCTGTGTGTGGTTCACAGTGGCTGAATTGGGCACTCTGTTCAGGACCACGGGATAGTTTCTTTACCGGGCTTCCACTCATCCATCAGCATATCACACTGTGTTCATGAGCATAGAGCCAGGGGGACCTACTGTCTGGAGGAGGAGTCTGAAAACCCTCAAGGAAAGGAATCTAAGAAGCCAGCAATTTGGCTGTGCTCTTACATTCATTTTTCTACCTTTTATCTTTTTTCAGTTGCATGTTGCTAGGGGTTGGGCAGCAGGTTAAACCACATTTTGTGTGTGAAAAACTACATGTGGGCACTGTAATAGGTCTTCTACTATGAAAGACAACTTCTCTGCTGCAGACATTGCAAGATACATTGATACGCTCTTGCTGCATGAGTCTCCCATGATGTGTGGCAATACATGGCAGCTAATTTTGGACACCTATCACGTATGAGATGGTCTACTGACAGTTTACAAGCATCCCACTTAGCCTTCTAAAAAAAAAGATCAACATTTCATAGGTCACCGCTTTGAGCTTCTGAGATAAGCAAGCAACCTCTAACCAGCTCAATCAGCCTTCCACCTGAATCTCTCTATGTTGTGTAATGCATGGGATATATATATATGTGTGTGTGTGTGTGTGTGTGTGTGTGTGTGTATTTTTTTTTCAGTAAAGGAAGCATGATTCAGACTCACCTCTCCTCACTCTCTTTCCTCCTGGTGAGGAAGGATTTCTATTATGTCAAAGGTA